GTCCAGACTTCACTGCCAGATGATTAAAAAAAACATATTACATCAAGGGCCATCAATTTTATTTTGATAAATAGAAATGGCTTCCTGTTTCATAATACATTGCAGAAAAATTTAAGTGGATAAGGGAATCGACCATGTTCTGGCGACGAACTTATATCAGGGATATTAATAGCCGTTCATCAAACATCTTTCTTTCTTTCCAACAAATCTTCCTGTTTCTTAATTGATAATGTTTTTGATAATTGACAAAGAACAGGTGAAATACATGGCTTTGGATAGATTTCCCAAATTAACTGTTCACTGCCATATAAACCCAACCCTGACGATTGATTGATTTTTTACAAGTTCATCTATAGGTCTTTTCTTTGTTATCAGAAATTGAACCAATGGAACTAGAACAATTTTTTTTTTTTTTGAGACGACGGACGACTGTGTTTTGCTGGACGACCACCCATTCTGATAATTAGCGAAAATCTGACTGACGAAGTCCAGATGAGAACAAGGGTTATGACCACCACCGGTCGCATTGTTCTGTTGGCGGCCAGAGAAAATGAGAACTGCGATTAAAAAGAAAAAAAAAAAAAAAAAAAAAGATAATTTTTTTTTTTTGAGCAAGATATTTTTTTTTCCTGAAACAAAGCCAGCTGGATCGCACACGCCCGGCTGGACATCATTGGCCGGAGGTGATCACGTGACGCAAGGAGGGAAGCCGCCGCCGCCCACCTAGAGGATGGGTATGAGAGGTTGCTACGAAGAAGTGGGGAGGGCAGTTGACGCCCCTCTGAAGTATGGTGAGAAGGTGGGAGTAAGAGAAGGCTTCCAAAAATGGAAAAAAGTGGAAAATTCCTAACCAAAAATAAAAAGAAGTGGATATGTATTTAGAATTATCGAGGAACCTCCGACGCCGACAAACCCACCCCGGTTTTGGTCGGCGTCCATATAAGCAAAGTCGCAGCGAGCAGAAATCAGTTCAGAGTTAAGTTCGGACTCCGGTTTCCCAGAGTTCAGTCTCCAGTGCTCAGTTGAAGCAGGCCTCGCATCAGCTGACTAAGATTCGCGCAATCTCCGAACTCATCTTCAATCCAAGAACAATTTATTTTGAAGAACGACTTAGATCCATACCACCAAAATAAGTTTTTCGACTTTCGCCTGAAGACACACCAAAAACCAATTTCTTAAAGAACAGACAACTTAAAGTGTTAAAACTCGCCTAACAAAAAAACAACGTGTCACAAATCCATATAACGGGTCGGGAGATAGACGCAGTCCTATGTATCCAGCAACTAGACATAAAAGTTTTGTTATCCTTTTTTTCTGATACCTTGAACTTTTGAGTTATCATTTTATTTTCTTTTATACATATTTGTTCGATACCACCTCCGCTTGAATCCAGCTTGCATACGGCCCTAACGACTGATTGATTTCGTCTGCCTAAGATCAATTCACAACGTGGGTAGGCAGACTGGAGATCAACGCAGTTACTTTGGTAACCAGACGTTGGAAGCGAGTTGGGAACGACGAGGCTGATATCGAATCTAACCAGATTCCCATCCGAATCACCAAAAGGTTAGAACGTCACATTTGGGTGCCGCGACCGATACCAAGCCAGTTGGTCGTCACAGGACGAGACAACACGACTGACGCGACAGGCGGACGTCATGTTTGGAGCGGCGACACCCGAACGAAGCAGCGAGGAGCGAGCGAAGGCTGTGTTTAGGGACGTCACAAAATATATTTTGAACGCTATTGTATACCTTCAATTTTGGTTGGTTGATTTTGTTTAGTGGCATATCAACACCTCTATGGGTTATTTAATGACGAAATCTAAATATTTTGAACTATTTTATGGCTTCAACTAAATATATTTTAAACGCAATGGTATGCCTTCAATTTTGGTTGCTTGATCTTGTTTAGTGGCATATCAACACCTCTATGGGTTATTTAATGACGAAATCTAAATATTTTGAACACTATTTTATGACTTCAATTAACTATATTTTGAACGCAATTGTATGCCTTCAATTTTGGTTGGTTGATTTTGTTTAGCGGCATATCAACCTCTATGGGTTATTTAATGCCAAAATGTAATGTTTTTATGTTAATATCCCATATGCTGATAATCAAAATAGAATCGATTTATACAAGTGGATTATCAAGCTTTTATATTTTGTACATAATTTTTTTTTATATATATATGTATTTATATATATATATATATATATATATATATATATATAAGATCATAATATATGGTGTTGTCTTATCTTAATATAAAAATGTATATTTTTTTTGTTGTTGTAGTGTTACGTTGATTTTCATTTTGCTATAAAATGTTTTGGCGGTCATTTTATTTAAAAATATAATGTTCATATTGTTTTGGGGGTTCACCATTTATCTCTAGCTGAGACCCTAATAGGTGCTACAACTGCGGTTCAAGCTGTACCTGGAAACAAATGCAGTTAGGAAGTGGTTCCACATTCTAAATTCCCCATCAGAGGTCTTGCTACCAGATGTAGTTTATCGTCATATCCAGGAAAATATTCCGATAGGCTGTTGAAATTAAAAATTATATCATTAAAACTAAAAGACGTTTTCTGATGAACCCACTTATATCAATCGCTCAACATCGAAAGGCATATTCAAATATTGTCAGAAGAATTTATCCTTACTAGAAGCACCTGGAAACTGACATGATATTTGTTATTTGAAAATTTCATGAATCATAATTATTAAGGCATTGATGGAATAAGCTCATGGCGAGTTCTACGACAATAAAATATCCGTAGAAATTCCACTATCGCATCTTTAAATATTTGAGCTTAACAACTTTAACAAAACTAGAAAGACCCGTGATAATTTCACGGTTTTCCTATTTGGATTTTCGGATGAATCTTAATTCTTCATTTAATGATTGAATAAGCTCATGGCGAGTTCTACGACAATAAAATATCCGTAAAAATTCCCTTATCGCATCTTTAAATATTTGAGCTTAACAACTTTAAAGAAATCTTGCAATATCAATCATAAATATGAACTCTTTATTTAATTTGTAACGTTCTTAATGAAAGTCTTTTTTACATAATCTATAAATCACTGGTGGACGTACTTCTGTATTTGCATTTCTCTTTCTTGTACCATTCTGACCATAAATAGTGCAAATTAAATGAGGACTGCCTAAGTCAAGATTTGAACTCAGTTCTCAGATTTTATGTATTTCTCGTTCTACAATTTGTTCAGCAACAAATGATATTTTTCTTAGAGATAATAAAGAAATAAATTTATAAGATGAATTATTAAACATGTTGCTTTATCACTATTTCCATTATTCGGAATATTGTCCTCATCTTTGTCGCCATGTTTATCACAACGTTTCGGCCGTAGGACGCTCCGGCCTCCTTCAGATAGTTGAAATGTCGGATTTTATTTCGCTCACTGGGGTAGACTGTTCTAGTTCCACGTGCCATGTCTAATGGATGTCAGTTATCTCCTGTTAATTCCCCTCTCAAAGTTCTCCACTCTCTTAACCAAGTATTGAACTCACACTCTTTGGATCCTGTCACTTGGATTTAAATAACGCGTTTATCCACTGTGCTGTGTGTCCTTGACGACTTCTGTGTATGCATTTCTGGTTATTATAAAACTAATGTCTTCAGCAATCATTTTTTACCAGTGCTCATATTGCAATTTTTGCTGTTATCATTTTTTTTTTTTTACCAGAGCTCATATTGCAATTTATGCTGTTATCATTTTTTTTTACCAGTGCTCATATTGCAATTTTTGCTGTTATCATTTTCTATTACCAGAGCTCATATTGCAATTTTTGCTGTTATCATTTTTTACCAGAGCTCATAACAACAATTTTTTTATTATTTTTTTGTTATATTTTTTGTTCTTTTCATTTTTTTTTTTTCGGATTTTTAATTATCGCTTTCCTCTGGCAATTATTAAATAATATTGACATATCTACGAAAATGTAGCTTTATCGTAGAAATTTGAAATTTCATTGCGAAAATATGTAAGTAAATAGGCAAGTTTAAGCAAGACAAGCCACAAAGAAATTGCAAGTTAGCTAATAGACTGCCATAATTTCTGGGATGCATAAAAGCAAAGAAGCTTCTGAGAATTTAAGAAGAGAAGCAAAGGCTGGAAGAGGTCGGTTACAAATTAACGACGTATCAACCATGACTGGATTATTTATTGTCGAATGTAAGTCTCATACGACACAAAAGTCACATTGAATTAATAGAATGGTAGACACAAGTCCGATTTACACTAGAGGCAAAAAGTTAGACATAGATCTTGTCTGATTTTATAGAAGACTGAAATAATTAGATATTAGCCTTTTTCATTTTCTCTCTCTCTCTCTCTCTCTCTCTCTCTCTCTCTCTCTCCCTCTATCTCTCTCTCTCTCTCTCTCTGTGGTATTCTGGGGCAACGATCTTTCTTTCTTTTTTTTCTTTTTTTTCTTTTTTTTCTGCAGAATATTGTCTTCATTTTTGCTGTTGTTGTCACAATGTTTCGGCTGTAATGCCCTCCGGCCTTCATCAGATGCTTGTCGCTCTGGGCAACATTCAATATAATTTGCATTAATTGCATTTAAGAATTGCTGACAATTTTCAGTTAGTTCAGGAAAAAAATACAATTTGGAATACATGGACATAAATAGAAGATCACGTATAAAATGGTTATCTTTATAATTCTGCTTGTCCCGGCCTTAGTTAGCACGGCCATTACGTTCTGCCAATACCTCATAAATAATGGACTGTTCCGTTTTGGGGAAAGACGGAAACGACATATGCTAGTCGGTTTCAGTGAGAAGATTAAAGTGAGAAAAGGAAAAAAGACATGAAGAAAGAAAGAAAGAAAGAAAGAAAGAAAGAAAGAAAGAAAGAAAGAAAGAGAAAGAAGAAAGAAAGGAAGAAAGAAAGGAAGAAAGAAAAAAAGGAAGATAGAAGAGGCGACCACACTTTGGTGTGTTTAACATCTATTTCAGTGAGATTTCAGTGAAAGAAAGAAAGAATGGCTGAAAGAAAGAAAGAAAGAAAGAAAGAAGAGGCTATAAATCTCTTGTGTTTAACATGTATTTCAGTGAGATTTCCATGAACGAAAGAAAGAAAGAAAGAAAGAAAGAAAGAAAGAAAGAAAGAAATGGAGAAGGTAAGAAAGAAACTAAAGAAGGAAGGAAGAAAGAAAATAAAAAAAAGAAAAGAAGGAATATAAAACTATAAAAGGCTATAAAACTCTGGTGAGTTTAACATCTATTTCAGTGAGAGGGAACAAAAGTTTTCAATTTCAAATCTTTTCATTTGTACCCCCTTACTTCTTTAAATAATGACATACATTCATATTCATAAGGCTTTTTTTAGCTTAAATATTTAACAGTGCAATCGGCGAATTTCCACGTGTATTTTATAGCTGTAGAAATCGCAGCATGCTTTTATCAGTAATTCATTTAGGAATTAAGATGAATTAGAAAATTCAAATGGGAAAACTGTGAAATGTTCATGGGTATTTCGAGTAATTTTACAAATTAATTTCACTGCGGGGTGCCATCACCCGGGACCCCCTTTGATCAAAATGAAATATATTTATCCAAGTTCCCTGGATAATGTAGTTTCAGAATATATATAGTTATGGGGGTCCATCTCCAAAAACCTAGAAGGAGTTTGATAACAGACAGACAGAGGCTAAAACTTTATGTATAGATATTACACTGTTATTATTACCATGATTTATATCAAACAACTGATGTTTCTATTAATACTCTAGAACGATAAAATTACACAGCCATAATCATATGGTATTATATCCAGGAACTTTATAATGTTTCCATTCACAACTACGGACAATACAAAGAGACTATTATTATCCTATATGATATCCAAAGATATTATATTTCAGGTAAAAATATAATAATTCGGAATACATGGACATTGATACGGAATAACACATTAAATTATGATATCATTATCATGCTATTATTTTCTCTCTCTCTCCTTTCGTCTCTTAGTTAGTACGTAAGTTACGTCAATTGATGGACTATTCCGTTTTCATCGCGTGTAACGACGGGAAAGACATATCAGACTTATCTGGGTAATGTAGTTTCCGAATATATATGGTTATGAGTGTCCATCTCCAAAACAAACAGACAGAGGCTAAAACATTATTTACATTATTCGGACTATTCTTTGTCGCCATATTTATTACAACATTTCAGCCGTTGTACGCTCTGGCCTTGAGGACACATGGCACAGGCGTTGGTTAGTGAGAGGACACAAAGACTGTTAGTTCAATACCCGGTTAAGGCAGTAGAGAACTTTTAGAGGGAAATTAACAGGAGATATCTGATAACTGACATCCATTAAACATGGCATGGCGTCGTTATATATATATATTACAGCAAAAACACACACAGCTAGATAGATAGATAATGAACAAAGATGCCCAAGTAGAGATTGATCTATCTCAGTCTATCTATCGATCTATCTATATATTTCTTCTGCGGTGGTACGACTCGGACATTTATGCACAACGCAATCTTCAATGTGTTGACTTAAAACTGAGTTTATAGCGCCGTTAAATTGCACCGAACACTACTTCATTAACACCGGCACTCAATGTACTATATATATATATATATATATATATATATATATATATATAGAGAGAGAGAGAGAGATAGATAGATAGATAGATAGATAGATACGAACAGACCGAGATAGATTATATATTTATGTCAGTCTGTTCGATAGATAGATAGATAGATAGATAGATTATGTATTTATGTCAGACTGTTAGATAGATAGCTAGATAGATAGATAGATAGATAGATAGATAGATAGATAGATAGATACGAACATACTGAGATAGATACAAACAGACAGAGATTGATAGGTAGATAGATACGAACAGATATAGATAGATGAATAGATAGATAGATAGATAGATGAATGATAGATAGATGATATAGATGAACATACTGAGATGGATACGAACAGACAGAGATTGATGGGTAGATAGATGCGAACAGATATAGATAAATAGATAGATAGATAGATAGATAGATAGATAGATAGATAGATGCGAACACACTGAGATGGATACGAACAGACAGAGATTGATAGGTAGATAGATACGAACAGATATAGATAGATAGATAGATAGATAGATAGATAGATAGATAGATAGATAGATGCGAACATACTGAGATGGATACGAACAGACAGAGATTGATAGGTAGATAGATACGAACAGATATAGATAGATAGATAGATAGATAGATAGATAGATGCGAACATACTGAGATGGATACGAACAGACAGAGATTGATAGGTAGATAGATACGAACAGAGATAGATAGATAGATAGATAGATATGAAAATACTGAGAAAGCTAGACGTACATAAACAGACTGAAACAGATAGATAGATAGATAGATAGATAGATAGATAGATAGATAGATTGATTGATTTATTTATTTGAATATACTGCGATCGATCGATAGATAACGTGAGAATATCCTTTGTGTTTATATTTTATGCCGGAATGTTTTTCAGGGAATAAATAAATTATATCAGTGAACAATTTTTTTCAAATCTTTAATGAATCTAATATTAAGCGCATTTATCAAGGCTTGAAACCCTCTCATTCTCACTCTCTTTCTTTCTCTCTCTCTCTCTCTCTCTGCATGCCTGTGTGCCCGGATGTATGTAGGTATGACAGTTGAAGAATCGTTGCAAATATTCCATATATTACGGTGAATAAGATTCGAAGAAAATTGCTGCCGACGAAAATTGATGTTATTAGAATAATTATGCTTCGTAAACGTTAATGAGATGCGCCTGGAGAAAAATTGGTTTGCAAAATTTTGTTTGGACCAAAACTTTATCTATCTATCTATCTATCTATCTATCTATCTATCTATCCCAGTCTTTTCATATGTATCTATCTATCTATCTATCTATCAATCTATCTATCTATCTCAGTCTTTTCATATCTATCTATCTATCTATCGATCTATCAATCTATCTATCTATCTCAGTCTTTTCATATCTATCTATCTATCTATCTATCTATCTATCTATTCGTATGTTTGTATATATGTATCCATGTATTCATTATCTATCTCTGTGAGAATGCTCTCTAACTCTCTCTCTCTTTCTCTTTCTCACTCTCTCTCTTTCTCTTTCTCACTCCCTCTCTCTCTCTCTATATATATATATATATGATCGAAATAAAAGTATAAAACTTAATATTACGAGACATATTAAAAAAAAACGGGTGAAGCAACAGGTTTCGCTCCCGCTCTTCAGGCTTCAACCTTTGGATGAAATAAGGGGTGAGACCAGGACAGATAATTTCCAGACCAGATAAAAGTGCTGGAGTAGTTATTTTACATCATGCTGACTATATAACTAAAATGTCTTCTATCTTAGAAGATACTTCAAAATTTACCAAACTTGATTCTGCTGACACCTGTGATGGAACCTCTTCAGGTGAAGCGAAATTTCAAAAATTACTTCTAAAGTGGGTAAAATCAGGACTGCTGTCAAAAGAAATTGCCAACGAAATCCGTCCTTCCGGTTAGATTCGTCCCCGATTATATGGTCTCCCGAAAATCCATAAAGAAGATGTACCTTTGCGACCGATTTTATCTATGATCGGTTCAGCCCAACACAAGGTAGCCCAATGGCTCTCCACACTTTTGGATCCTGTGTTGCAGTGTCTGGATGGATTTTGTATAAAGGATTCCTTTTCTTTCGTCGACCGCGTTCAAAATTTATCTTCTTCTGGTAAGTTCATGTGCTCTTTCGATGTCTGCTCCCTGTATACTTGTGGCCCTTTAATGGAAACCATTGATATTTGCTGTGATTTTCGCTATCGCAGTTCATTGACTCCACCTAGTTTTCCTGAGTCAATATTCCGTGAATTGATGAAATTTGCCACGTCCTCCGTCGAATTTCAACAACACCATGTACCGACAAATCGACGGAGTTGCTATGGGTTCGCCTTTGGGTCCGGCACTTGCCAACATATTTGTTGGCTTTCAGGAAGAAAAGATACGAAAGAATCCAATTTGTCCTCAAATGTACTGTCGGTACGTTGATGACACCTTTTGTTTATTTAATGGTGAAGTTGAGGCCGACCAGTTTCTTTCGTTTTTAAATGGTATCCATCCGGTACTGAGGTTCATTATTGAAAAAGAGTCCAATCATCAATTGGCCTTTTTGGATGTATTAGTACATCGCACATTAAGAGGTTTTCTTACTTCCGTTTATAGAAAACCTACTTTCGCAGGGTTTTACACGCGTTGGAACTCTTTTTGTCCCACTAAGCGCAAGATTAACATTATTAAAACCCTCCTACGTAGAGCATTAAAGATATGCTCTGAGCCTTTTTTGAACGATGAAATCGACTTTATTGATACCCTATGTAATTTGGGTTATCCTCTTGATACTGTTAATTCAGTTATCCGTAGTAAAGTCGAAGAGATCAGAAGTGCCGATCTCTACACTGTCAAAAAATGCCCAGTTTATCTCAGATTACCCTTGACTGGTACCAAATGTGAAAAAATGGCTAAACAAATTTCATCCAATGTTCGTTGTTGTTTTTTCTCTGCTGAGGTTCGGATTATTTTCCAAACTCGGCCTATGTTTCGATCTGCGTGTAAAGACGTTCTCCCTTTCCATCAAATTAATTCAATTATTTACAAATACGTTTGTAGTTGCGGAGCCGACTACATAGGGAGAACAACTCAACGGTTAGACATGAGAATAAAACAACACGTTCCTACAAAAATTAGAAATCACACCTTACCGTTGAATGGACTCCTCCCGAACACCTATAGTTCCGCCATATGCAAACACCTATTAAAGAACAGATATTGTGCAGCCAAATTTAGTGTTGACTGGTTCACTGTGTTCTCCCGGTCTCATTCCTTATTTCATCTAAAGGTTCTGTAGGCACTTTACATCGGGTCCCGTAAGTCTTCTTTGTGCAAACAACGTGAGTGTTTGTTGGGACTCGCTGTCATTTGTTTTGAGTTCCTTTTGCATATTTTTTTTTTTTTTACAACTCCTTTTATTGAACATTTTTCTGTGCTAATTTTAAATCTCCCGTTGAAGCCTGAAGAGCGGGAGCGAAACCAGTTGCTTCACCCGTTTTTTTTTTAATATGTCTCGTAATATTAAGTTTTATACTTTTATTTCGATCATTAAATTTTGTACCTACAAAATATCTTTATTATATATATATATATATATATATATATATATTAAAACTTGTTCGTATCTCTCTATATATATCTACCCAGTCAGCTTATGTATCTATGCATCCCAGTCTGTTCATATCTATCTATCTATCTATCTATCTCTCTCTCTATATATATATATATATATATATGTATGTATGTATAAACTTGTAAGTATCTATCAATATATCTACACCAGTCAGTTTATGTATCTACCTATCTATCTATTGGTCACTGTTTAAGCAATCTTCCGAATTCTGTAAATTCTATGATACAGAAAATGTCATCCGTATTTATGAAGTAAAGTTTTTTCAGGCTCGTCTCGAAGTGAATTATTGCCACTCTGTGTTGCAATAACTATCAAGGATTCTCTTGTCGACCATTACTTCTGACTAGTCAGTTCGATCCTTACTGGAATCTGACAAAATCTATTCGACTCTAAATAACCCCCAAACTGTTGACGTGCCGTAATAATCAAACAGAATAACTTTAAAAAGTGAATTGCTTGCGCCATTGAATAAAGTTGCCACGTTCCCGGCCATCTTTCTTTTTTTTCCAGCACCATTTTGTTTTCTAGATACGCCCACCTAACTCAGAATCTAGAATGAATTCAACAGTGAAATTCGAACCTCAGTTCCTCAAATGGCTGTCAGAAAATGAAAACGCCATCTAGCGTCCAAATTCAGCATTTATTTTCTCGCGCCTGTAATGTTGAATTGCTTCTTCGTCTGATTTCTAAAGAAACATTTTGAATTACAAATCGACGAAAAGGTCAGCGCATAAGTCGAAATTAAACAAATAAAAATATGAATAGAAATGTTTTAGCGGGTGTTATTATTATATAGTGATACTTTTTTCGTTTTATTACAAAACAATAAGAGCTGAATTTTCATGCAACTGCTTGAAAATATTTCTATATGCCCATTTAAAATAAAATAAAAATAAAGAAATCTTTCCATTGGAGACCAAGGAACAAAGATGGTTCTTCAGCACGCAATAGTTACAAGTCGAAATTGAAATCGGAAAATGACCTTGCGATGAAAACCCATGACAATTTTCAAACATCTCCTCTTTAAATGATACCCAAACCCTAAAGCCAAACCATTGGATGTACAGATATCAAAAAGGTCATTTTCGATGTAAGTGAAATGAGGTTGGAGAGTTCAAATTTCGACCGAGTCTGTTTCTTTCACCTCACAATGACGTCCTTTTTAAAATCGTTCACCCGAAGAGAGGAATTAAAGCCACTGAGACACAAGTGGTTACTAGGTATGGAAGAATTAGAAAACAGAAAATCATTAAAGAGCGAATATAGAAGAAGAGTAACCAGGAGAACAATAGATAGCGATTGACATTGCACTTAAATGTTTTAAGATTAAAGTTAGCTGGAAAGAATGGAACCGGAAGGGAGTTCCACAAGCGAAAAGTGCGAGAAAAAGAACTGTTAGTATAGAATTTACGGTTACATCTAGCCAGCTCAACTGCATATAGATCAGACCTCGTTGTCAGTCTAGATCATTGGTTTTCAAACAATTTGACGTCAGAGCTCACTTGAAATCCTACCAATAATTGTAGGCGTACTATATACAAATTTTAAAAAAATATGTTATAATGAAGTCAAATATTGCAGAAAAGAATTGATGCTATGAAAATATAAAATGAAACATACCTTAAGTTTATTCATTCTTTGGTTCATGAGAAACATGAGCCTGATGAGTCTTAGCGCACGTATGTTTGAAAGGCAAATTCTCATTTCCTCCTCAATACATTGAAGAGTTCCTCTCTTTTTGCACTTTATTTTGGTGAGAGAAGGAAAGCCTAATTTACATAAATATGAACAAGACGGGTACTTAATTAATATTTCTCACGTTAATGGATATAACAATAGCTTATATTTTAATCATTTGAATCCAAGCAGAACATAATGCTAAGATGTAACGGGTTACTGGGAGGAAAAAACAATCTTTAGAAGGAACCGGAAACGATAAGATAAAGAACAAATAAAAAACGTTTATCAATCTAACATATTTAATTTTTTATTAAAGCTACGAGGCAGAAATTATGGAGAAAAAGAAGAAAGACATCCTGGTATTTTAACTTTTGTGTTGTTTGATGTTCATTGGTTAATCAGGTTTCGGGCGCATTTCTCTCTTTAAATTAGTGATTCTCAAACATTTTGAAGTCGGAACGCAATTGAAATCCTACCAATAATTGTAGGCGCACTATATACAAATTTCGGAAAAATATGTTCTAATGAAGTGAAATATTGCAGAAAAGAAAAAAATGCAATGAAAAATATAAAATAAAATATACCTTAAGTTTATTCATTCTTGTGTTTATGAGAAACAGAAGCCAGCCTGATGAGTCTTAGCGATTTCTTCAATGTTTGGGCGTATATTTGATAGAAAGTCTCATTTCCTCGTCACTACATTGAAGAGTCCCTCCCTTTTTTTTGCACTTAATTGTGGTGAGAGCAGAAAAGTCTAATTCACGTAAATA